TGGAGTGAGTTCAAAAGAAATGGCTACTCCAACAAGGTGTCCCGAGTTAGAGAGGAGGTGCTCGAGAATTTCTCATTAGCCATTTACTCGTGTTTAACATTGTAATTTGCCAAGTCACTGTAAGTAGGATTAAACGTCACCTTGCTGAATGACAAACGAAACCGTCTCAGTATGGAGGTAAACGATGGCAAAGGAAATCACAGAGACCGCTCTTCCGGCAAAAAGTACGGGCACTGGATAAAGGTAAATCAACACAGACCGAAATAGACTGAGTGGGATTGGGACTGGAGGGATTGCTTTAGCTAAAGACGTTAGTAGGCACCTCAGCAGAGCCTCACTATGTAGCCGTTCATGCCACTGTGGTCTGCGACCGTATGGCTCCTCAGAATGTGTCCGTTGGGCCACCAGCTAGAGGGAGGACTAGTACGGTTTACATAACGATAGGATGTGGAACACCTACATCGAGGGTGAAAGCACTTCCTTCTGCATAGTCGATGCCTCTAACACATCCACTTATCACATTGTGTTTCAAATGAGCAAATATTTAATTCCTACATACAGGAAAAATAGGAGGAACACAATCAATTTAAAAAGGTACCTACTGTGGCCAGTGGAGACGATGATGATTGAGTCAATGTAAGTAGCGTGTCCACCTAATGCCTCTTCTCCCCCTCTTCTTGAAATCGCATGTTCTTTTGGTTTCGCTCAAAATTCACCTTATTATTGCGATGGATTTATACGAACGCTCATTAATTCGTTCCTTTTGACCGAATTAACTGCTTCCGAGGTTGTTCAATGAATTGTTTAATAGAAAGGCCCCGAGGGTAAGAAATTCTTTTAAAAGCAAGCATTCACCTCGACAAATTCGTAGACGAATTTAACAAGCAAAGTATTTTTCTGTCCATCCTTATCAAACCTGCTAGCCAGTCGCATTTTCTTGTCCTCATTCCAACTTCTAAGCTATTCAGCTGTTGGGGAAGGCATAGATTGCACAAGAATGACTGCTTTTCAAATTGACATCAATTTGGGTACGAGTAACCGAAATCATCATCTCCTCACTGGCCACATACCACACCACAGCACTTCCTAACTGCATTCTGTTTGGATAAGTGAGGAGGTCCCCTTCTCTGTGCTTCAATCTGTACCACTGCAACTCAGCGTGCATCACAACCCACCTCGAATACTCAACTGGCGTTTCACATCACCCAACACTTCCATCAGCCTCCAACAGTGCGGTAGTGAACCAAATCTCTCGTGGCACACGAAGCAAAGTGCCTCTACCTTGCTGATCAGCACC